ATCTAGATAAACTTCTCTGACGTCTTCACGCCACAAATGCCACCTATAACTAGTTGATCAGAGGCTTCTCTAGGTGCTTAAAAGATTCGGACCCAAACTCGTGGGAATATTGGACGTTTCAGTATAATATCGATTGTGGTTTCATATTCTGATTTTTAAGAGCATCAAATGCATTTGGGGCACAGTCAAATAGAATAGGGGCAAGGGCTCCGTGTGTCATTGCCTAGAGACGCCTCTGGAGCTGATAACTCTTTTCTGTTCTTGTACTTACTGGAAAAGCTAGGCTAATACCAGAGGCTCATCTGATGAGGATTAGGTTTATTGACAAATTCTGAATTCTGAAATGTGGTATTGCACTTCAGATTTCTATGTGCGATAGATCACATGTTGAAATAGTATTTAGGTTTTTATAAACAGAAGAAAACGTTCTTTATAAGTTCTAAAACCTCGTACTTTGATACACCAAACGAGCTGTTTACAATATTAGAATCAAATCATTCAGATGGTTTTTACAAACTAGAAAAGGGAGAATTAAGAAGATGTTAACTTTGTCAGACTCTTACTCCGTCAAAAGCCGTTTTCTTTCACCAGTTTTATTGGTCTTGAATTTAAACTGCAAAAACAGTGGTAAAGAAATAAGTCTATGAACTTATAACGCTAAAAACCACGTTTTTGATACTCCTGGTGGGCATAGCACAGATAGCTCATTGTGCAGCTTTGTGCTTAACTACCAACAAACAAGCAAACTTAACAGTTTTTAGTATAGAGTCCATACAAATCATATACTAAAGATAAACCATAATCGAAACACTTTTGTTAAGATGAACGAGTCACATTCATTATAATTCCTGTTTGTTTGTTTCGAATATTTGCGCTAGTCTTATATCTAATTATGAACTTATCTACTACAGAGAAGTAAACAGCACCCACCAACAACTCTTGGGCTATTCTATTTGAATAGTGGGATATGACCGTTACTCTTATTACGCAAAAACTACCCTAGAGTGTGGAGTGGGAATTTGTATTTATATTTTGTGTGAACAGGATACAAACCACTTACACAGCCCGGCATGCTAACTAGTAGCCGTCCTTATTAACTTCGAATTAAAACAAGTTACCTGCTTAACAAAAAACAAGACATTGACTAAAATCCGGTTTTTCTAGGAGTATAAATATAATGTCATAAAAATACTTATACAATAATCAGAATGAAATGATTCACTAAATAGGTACTCTCGCTGTTATCGATATATTTTCGGCCGTAATCCCAATAATATCTCTTGATATTGAGCCAGTTAAGGAGGTCTAGGCTAATCCTAACTTCATATAATCTTTAAAAAAATATTACTAAAGAAAGTAACATTAAAGAAAGAAAATAATATACATCAGAAAACCTCAAAAAAAAGAAAAGAAAAAAGGAGTGCTTGCTCTGTGCACTATGATCGACACACCTGGCTGTCGTATAAGAACTATATACTCCATGTATATATAGTTGAAAAATCCACGAAGAACAGCCACGGTATGCTGTGTGTCAAATAAAGGAGAAAATACAAATGTTTGTGTAGTTAAACTACATTTCTTATGCTTAAAAGTTGTGTTAATCACACTTACATAGAAATCTGTTATTTCAAATAGGAATATTATGATTTATTTTATACAGTTTTAACAATGAGTAAAATTATTTTTATAGCATCAATATTGTATGCAGAATTATAGGTGGCATTCTTTGTAACTTTTGTGTTATCGTTTGGGCAATATGTTTCGTTAATTCTGTTACAGTTATCCAGTTATGCCATCATTAATTTCGCTGTCGTTTATAATCATCATACAACAGCCAGTGTTTTGTTACTACGTAACAAGATGACGTTTGTCTTGTTTTTGAGTCTAACTGTCAAATATTTCAAGTTATTATACAACAGCCAGTATATCATTACTACGCAACAAGATGACATTTGTCGTATTTTTGACGTTTGTTTTGAAAGTTCTTTACCTTCCAGAGTCATCTGGTGGCTCAATGGTGAGCTTCAAGGTATATAATAATAAAATACTTGGCTCGATCCCACACTGGACATAAAACATATAGTAAAATATCTAGCTTTGTGCTAAAACGAACAAAGAAACGATACCTGGAAGAAGATGCCAAGCCTCGATCATCTAAGTCTAACTTCTTCAGCCATTCGACACTTGTTTGTGACGTAGGTGTTATTAAAACGTACCCTGTAGAGCGTCGTGTCTAAGATAAAAGTAAAGAAGAAGATTCTATAACTGATAGAAAAATGAAAATACTTATCTGTTTTAGTATGAAAGTTATGTCTTAAAATAAAATGAACACCCTTTATACTTTATATTATTAAAAATCCATTAGTCAAAATACCGTATTGGCCCGATTATAAGGCGATGTTATAAGGTTGTTCAGTTATAGTATTGATTTTGCGGACCTGAAAAAGACGTTATGACACTCAATTTTTTCTTTCCCATGGTTTCTGAAAATGGGGGTCGCCTTATATTCGAGATCACCCTATGGTTCTTGCAAATTAACCTGAACAATAAACATAATTATATTCAAATTGTGAAGAAGTAGTAGCAACAGAGAACATAATTAAACTTATTAGCATATTAAGTAATTGTCAAACAACGTTTTGCTGAGAACAAATATCCCATTAAGTTAATGATACATAGGTAAAGGTTACTATCTGACTCAAAAACATCCTAGGTCTATTACACATATTAAAAATCCATTTTCGTATCTTAAATATACAATCAATATTATTATTTTTTAATATTTTTATCAAATGTTAACTGCTCTTTTAAAATAAACTAGTATGAGTACCAAGTAGTCGCATGATTAAGGTTGTTAGGCTACAGGTGAGTTAGTAGGTAATAAAAAAACATTTGAGTATAATACCTAAAAAGATATATAAAATCTAAAATAGGAGAAATAATTATAATTAATACCGATGAGGATGCCACGATGACTTTAGGAAATAATATTGATGATATAGTTGAATATTGAATTAAATTAGCACAGATTTATGATGTAGCTTACTCTACTACACATAAAAAAAGGAAAACCAATATTAATGACAGATCTGAGAAGGTCATATGGAAGTTGCAGGTATCTAAAATAATGACAAATGGCAGTGAATCTGATTCTTTCATGAAATAAAGGAACGTTTAAGTGGTGTAAAAAGAGTTCTTGGAAATTTGAGATAAAATGAGTACGACCAGTAAAACTAAAACTTGGAAAAGCATAAGTTAAAGCTGGACAGTTGATGGCGTAACTACAACCTAGTTAAAACTGGACAGTTGATGGCTTAACTACAACCTAGTTAAAACTGGATAGTTGATGGCATAACTACAACCTAGTTAAAACTGGACAGTTGATGGCTTAACTACTACCTGTGGATGAGGATCTACACTTTGGTGTAAGACATTTGGTAACTAGTGAATAGTACTTTGAACATTATCCTTAAGTCTGCGTTGTTTACTTTGAAACGAAAAGCATTGACTTGCACGTGTGGAAGATTATGAAAATTCATCTATAAAGTTTGGACTTCAGAAATGAAGAACAATAACATAAATATTGGTTCACTTTAAGAATAATTTATTTGTTGAATTTCGCGCAATGTTAAAAGAGAGCTAGCCGTTCCTAATTTCGAGGAGATAAACTAGAGTGAAAGCAGTTTGTCAACACCACTCACCACCAACTTTTGGACTATTCTTGTCAGACCGATTTGTGAACTTTGACCGTCACTCTTTTATTCTTTAAACGCGTGTACGGCTTCAAAGTATGGACTGCTTTTTTTTTGCGGTAACGTGACGCGAAACATGGTACCCCATATCCAGAGTCCAGCACAATAACCACTGGGCCACATTCGGCCCTCACTTCAATACACATCCTATATAAAGTCTACACCATTTCTAGTGCTGCCATCTCACCACAGCCTTGCGACTAGCTACAGTCTTTGGATTGGTAAGTTTGCTCTTTGAAATATTGTTGGCCATAGAGTTCATTCTTCATACCACTGCATGATAACCTTCCTAGAGTCGAAATCAGTATTGAAGATACTTGATATTTGTGCTGACATTGCTATTTTTCACAATCTATCATAGACTGACTTCACATTCCTTTAGATTTGTTTGTTTTAGAGTTTTCACCCAAATATATACAGGAGTTCTCTAAGCATAGCCGCCCTTAATTTTGAACTGATAGACTAAAGACAACTACGCCAGTTTCCAAATTTTGGGCTTCTTTTATCTAACAGAATGGTTGGTTTGACCGTACCCAGTGAATACATGACCGAAAAGAGCAGATATAATTTTCTTGCAGCAATAGGGAACGAACCAAACACTTGGGAAATTATAATTTTATGTGTAAGGGTTATCACTCAAAGTCATATGTGAAGGATCATTCGGAATTGTTCTCCTGGACGCAATAGGTTATCTGTGCTCTGTCTACTACGGGTATCGAAATCCTACTTTTAGCGTTGTAAGCCTGCAAACTTACCGTTGAGCCATTGAGGGGAGAATTGTTTTCAGGGTGTCAAATTATCAAACGATTTCAAACGTTAAATAAAATGGTTTTAAACATTGTCTGTAAAGAACAGCTTGCACTTTAGATATACAACCGAAAAAACAAATATAATATGACGCCTTAAAGAGTAGGTAATAAACATTACTTACCTGTAAATTATCTGCCATTTCACCACCAATATAATATCTGCCAACTGTGTTGATTCGGTTGCCTAGGTTACAGCATGTTTTGTGACTCAGGTGGTCATTATCGTCTGAATTATATATCTTTAGTTTTCAATAAACAAAATACTCTTGAATAAGGTGTAATTTATAAGTCTTATATCTAAGATAAACTAAAGATGTTTTAGTAAAAAATGCTACTGTTCTCGCGTTTGTTATGTATATTATTTATTTAATAAAATAGACATGTCTATGATATTAAACTTAATCTGATGAATTTAGATATTACTGTGTCAGAGGGCGCTGTAGTAAAAAATGGCAACTGTGTCTGATGTTAGTCTAACATCTGAAATTTTGGTTAAGCAAGATGAAAATAAAATACCCCCAGAAGACATTGATGGGATTCACAACATTCCGGAGAAAAAATATAAAAAAGAACAAGATGTCGATCCTTATGAGAAAAAATATTACGTACTCCTTCGGAGGTGTGAAAGCGTTCAACAGGTACGCCTAATCAGGCTGCTGTGTCACATGAGTATACATAGATTTTCAGAAAGTTTTTTATAAGGTGTCATACAAATGATTTACTGAGAAAATCACGTCAGTAGGGGTCGGGGAAATACTAGTTCATTGGATCATAAGATGGTTGGATGGAAGAAAGCAAAAGGTTGTTATTAATGGAACCCACCCATGTTATAAGTAGAGTATTTAAGGGGTCCTTGCTTGGATTTGTGTTTTTTTCTTATTTACATCGATAATATTGTTAGGGGGATAATTATTATATTAGTAAATTTTGCAGACAAAATTAAACTCTTAAATTATTGTGTATTTCTAGCTGTATTGAGGATGTTAAGGTGTTACAGAGTAACTTGGATCAGTTGGTAAGCTGGACAAATATTTGACCTATAATTAATTAAGTATTGAATTTGGATTACCGTAATTTTTTTGGATCATACATTCATTATAGATGGTAATTAACTCAGTAACGTCAGTGGATCTTGACATAGTCAGTCAACTCATTGAAGTGATGTTTTATTTATTGACTTGGAAAACTGTGTTAAGTTTTGATCTTATTTAAAAGAGGATATTGAAATATTTTAAGGGATCCAGAGGAGGGCTACTAGTACAATTCGGGTAATGGAAGAGTTATCTTACCGGGGTAGATCAAGATCTTTGAATTTGTTTTCTCTTGAGTAAAGAAGGGTAAGAGTTGGTTTACAAAATTGTCTTGGGTAATTGATAGGGTAAGGGACTGATTCATGGGTACTATGTTCTGAAGATAACAGGATAAGAAGCCACAAGTTGAAGACTGAGAAAAGGCAGCTGCACACCAGCTAGTTGTTTGATGGTGTTAAGCTCTAGTAGCTTCATTATAAAATGCCCAGGTTCATTGGTTTGAAGCATGGTTTATTTTATTGCAAGCAAACAACAACCACTGCATAAAATGGTTTGAAACTTCAGATAATCTTTCTCTAGATTATCTAGTTTTTGTAAATAGAATATTTTTAAATGTGATATCTGTATGAATGTGCAGCTATGAAGATTCAAAAATATTTTATTGTGATATGTTTTTGGAGAAGCTAAAAATGCTTACCTTTGATGTAGATTTGAATTATTGATTTTAATATCTTCTTATATTCACATAAAACTTTCCATTAACATTTTTATTTGATGAAACTATAAATTTTAACTTTGTTGTGAAAAACAACATATGTAGTTTCACTGTGTGTTTACAATCACTGGTGTACAATAAAGATACAGTTTTTACTAAAATTATAAGTAAGCCATTTTTTTTAATTAAATTGTTAATCAGAAGGTTTCATTTAATATATGTAATATGTTTTAAACCATTTTATGGACATCATTTCTACTAGCAACAGATCACAAAACTAGGCTTACATCACTTTTTTCTGATCTCACTGTCAGTTTCCACTGAACTGGGAGCTACATGAGTTTACACAGTTGAAATAACTTTTTTGATACTATTTTACATTACTAGCCTTTGATTTGTTAAAGCTGAGATATGGATAATTGTATTGCACCATTACAACCAAGTTTGAGAAATTGTAATTTGGTAAAAAATGATAAAATTAGATTTGTATTGAATTTACAAAGGTCAAATTAATGCTGTTTTGTTAAAACTATTTTGTTTCTTTCCTGATAAGGGGCCACGAGTTTTATATGTTGTTTCTTTCCTGATAGGGGGCTATAAGTTTTTTATTTTGTTCCAAAAAAGTCAAGAAATTCACAAACACTGATAGTTATGCTGAAACCAACCCAAAATCAATATTTGTAATTTTTTAAAAGTATTATGTATAAAATTAAATGAACTTTTGTATAAAATAGATTTAACTCTGATGTATTTTGTATGAATGAAAGAATTACTACAAGTTTATTTTCTATAATTATTTTTAATCGATGTTGCAGTTTTTTCCCTTGTGGGATGCATCCAACTGGGTGCGATAGATTTAAAAAATTGCAGCATACAAGGGCAACATTACACTATAATTAATGATAACAACCAATAAAAAATTGCAGCATATAAGGGCAACATTACACTATGATTAATGATAACAACCAATAAAAAATTGCAGCATATAAGGGCAACATTACACTATGATTAATGATAACAACCAATAAAAAATTGCAGCATATAAGGGCAACATTACACTATGGATAATGATAACAACCAATAAAAAATTGCAGCATATAAGGGCAACATTACACTATAATTAATGATAACAACCAGGAGAAATATTTTATACAGGTTATTCTGTATTTTCAGAGTAATGAAAGAATTGTGAACAGAATTCGACATGTAAAACAATTATTGAGGCATTTTAGAAGAGATCGCAGGTAAGAGCTGTGTATTTTTATAACTTTAGTAAGGTCTTTAGAGAGACTCGTATAAGTCCCCTGTGAACCATGTAATTTGTTTTATCACTATGTTTGTATGAGATGTATTGTTTATTTTCATAAATTTAGAACTGTATGAAGTTATTCATGGTAGTTTGTTTTTGATGAGAAAATGAAGACTATAGGGAAACTTTTTAAAACTTTAAGATAATGTGAAGATTGATTATTTTTAAAACTATTTGTGTATCAGATAATTCAGTCGTATATTAAAGTGAAATTTCTTTAAAGAAATGATTAAGGGATTTGAAAATGGGTCTTTACTGGGTAGATGTGTCCATAACTGACTCAGTTATTTACTAGGTAGATGTGTCCATAACTGACTCGGGTTTTTACTGGATATATATGTCTATGGCTGACTCAGGTCTTTACTGGGTTGATGTGTCCATGGCTGACTTGGGTCTTTACTGGGTAGATGTGTCCATAAGTTACTCGGGTCTTTACTGGGTAGATGTGCCCATGACTGACTTGGGGTCTTTACTGTGTAGATGTGTCTATGACTGACTTGGGGTCTTTACTGTGTAGATGTGTCTATGACTGACTTGGGATCTTTACTGTGTAGATGTGTCTATGACTGACTCGGGGTCTTTACTGGGTAGATGTGTCCATGACTGACTTGGGTCTTTACTGGGTAGATGTGTCTATGACTGACTTGGGGTCTTTACTGGGTAGATGTGTGTCCATGGCTGACTCGGGTCTTTACTGTGTAGATGTGTCCATGACTGACTCGGGTCTTTACTGGATATATATGTCCATGGCTGACTCGGGTCTTTACTGTGTAGATGTGTCCATGACTGACTCGGGTCTTTACTGGGTAGATGTGTCCATGACTGACTCGGGTCTTTACTGGGTAGATGTGTCCATGACTGACTTGGGTCTTTACTGTGTAGATGTGTCCATGACTGACTTGGGTCTTTACTGTGTAGATGTGTCTATGACTGACTTGGGTCTTTACTGGGTAGATGTGTCCATGACTGACTTGGGGTCTTTACTGGGTAGATGTGCCCATGACTGACTTGGGTCTTTACTGGTGTAGATGTGTCTATGACTGACTTGGGGTCTTTACTGGGTAGATATTTCTATGACTGACTCGGTTCTTTACTGGGTAGATGTGTCCATGAATGACTTGGTTCTTTACTGGGTAGATGTGTCCATGACTGACTTGGGTCTTTACTGGGTAGATGTGTCCATGACTGACTTGGATCTTTACTGGGTAGATGTGTGTCCATGACTGACTTGGGTCTTTACTGGGTAGATGTGTCCATGACTGATTTGGGTCTTTACTGGGTAGATGTGTGTCCATGACTGACTCGGTTCTTTACTGGGTAGATGTGTCCATGATTGGCTCGGTTACTAGATCCATACCAAAACAGCTACTTCACGATTTGAGAAAGAAATTTTACAAGTCAAATTAAAGTGACCAATTATTTGTAGATTGAGCAAACATCTTTTAGGATTGGGTTTCACATTTCAATTTTCTGACAGAAGGACTAATATATATATATTCTCAAAATAGTTTTATAGTGCAAGTTTCACAGATAGGATGTAGGAATTGCTAAGATGAAGAAACGTTTTATATTTTACTTAAAGCACATATCTTGTGATTTAGTTAAACAACAAATAAAATGTTATCCAGTAATTACAAGATTGAAAAGATTGATACTAGTAAAACATTACTTTTTCCAGGTGTTTATTGCAGAGGCTAGATCAGCTTGGTGATGACTACAGGTCTGCAGCTCTGGAGCTAATGATGGAGGTGTGAATGAATATTTATTTCTTGGACCTTATTGTTAAATAAGACCAAAATACTTTTTGTA